GAATGTACTCTGCTCCCTTGGCATGATGTCTTCATGTCTATGGTTACATCCTTCTAAATAAGAGCAAAGCATATTTGCCCTGGCAATTGACTCGGTGCTCTAGGAGCAGGCAATGGTTAACAAGGAAGGTCCATCATGAAAAAAAGGCACCGAAATATGTTTTCTTTGAAGCTTCACTGAAATCTAAAAGTTGCAGCTTAATCCATTTTGAAAGCCGTATCAATCATCCTGTCGTGCAACACACTATCACAGATGTGAAATATAAAAACGAGCTAGCCCGGCCAACGAACGCAGGGCCCATTCTCCCCATCCATAAAAGCAAACATGGAAACTATAATTCACACAAATAATAAACATTTAATAGGGTATTCATGAGAAGAAAGGGAGGGAAAGGGACCCTGACACACTGGCACTTGTGTCTTGCCCGACAAAGCTCATTTGTTATTTGGGAGAGAAATTAACACCAATTCATCAAGCCACTTGTCAAGTTGATGATGGATCTGTCACTTCTTGCTTGGAGCAACGTGTCTGAGATTTTTTGTAAGCACTGTGTTAGACTGTAAAATGTGATTGGTTGTAGAAATTTGAGGAAGTACCAGAGTTGGAATGGGTTTGGTTAGTGACAAAATTCCTTGTCCCAGTCCTCTTTCAATGAAATCCCAGGGAGCTTTGCCGGTGACTTCCGCAGGACCAGGATTTAACCTAGGGTATGCTGCTGGCAGTCTTGTGACTAACAATAATGTGCCCTGAGCACATGACATGTTCTGAGCATCTCTCTGATGCAAGGTTAGCATTTCAGAGGTTCCAGTTGTATTCATCTCTGTATAAACAATGTACAGTTATATTATAATGATGCTATGTAAACCTTATGCCCTCCCATGGGGCAGATTCAGCTAAAACGGACCATCATCATCTAGTCTGACCTCCTGTATGACATGGGCCATAGGACTTCCTTGAACTAATTTCTGTTTGAATTAGAGCCCATCTTTTTAGGAAAAAAACATCCTAATTCCCAGTGATAGAAGATCTATCACAACTCTTGGTAAAATGTTTCAGTGGTTAATTACCCTTACTGGTAACAATTTGCACCTTATTTCTAGGTTGAATTTGTCTAGCTTCCTCTTCCAGCCTTCCAATATTTTTGCTCAGTCTGGATTATCTTCAAGGAAGATTCAGATGAGAACAAAGAGATCCACATAAGCTTAAAGAAAATGAGTAGACAGTGGGATAATAACACGGAGAAGAGTTGGGAGAATTAATAATGTATTTAAAAGTCTGATGGAATAAAACTGAACACCAGGTTTTAACTTCAGGTATAAATCAAAAGGGGAACTGACAAAAATGAAACAGTGCTGCATGCTTAACCTGTGGAACTCACTGCTGCAGGAATCCAGCATAAAAACAGCATGTCTGGATTTTATTCTACTAAAGTATGGGTAATTTAATTATTGTCTACCATGTTGGTAGCTACCCTGTCTTAAACAGTATTAAAAGGACATTTACTCCTCATGCTTCAGGCTATCAGCTGATCATTAGAGCTGTGCAAATTCTGCTAAGAGTCCCTAGCAATTCCAGATCATAAGAGTTTGTTCCACTTTCTTTTCCCCTAACAAGGGCTCACATCCCTGCAGCCCAGTTCCATAATGACTTGAATGCTGGGCCAACCACTAAACAATACATTATTTATATAAATTCTCTTTCTTAGGTACTTAGTTGCCCCCATCACTATAGTATCTGAGTGCATCCCAATCTTTAATATATTTATCCCCATAACACCCCTGTGATGTAGGGAAATGCTATTATCCCCATTTTATAGCTGGAGAACTGAGGCACAGATAGGTTAAGTGTCTTTCCCAAGGTCACACAGCAAGAAATTGAATCCTTGTCTTCCAATTCTGACTCTAGGGCTCTAACCAGTGGATCCTTCCTCTCTATTTGGTAGCAGCTAGAGGCTCTAGATCAGGGGCCTTATTGTACATGGTACTGTACAATCTGCATCATGGGCACTCAGTGATGTCATGAGGGTTCACTAGGTTTAAGTCAGCACAGGACTTCCTTCACACACCCCACTGTTTTACCTTGAAATGCCAAATCCTCAAGTGAAACTCACTCCATAAGTTTTGTATGGCTTCCAAACTCAGAATCCGGCCTGAATTCTGGGTTTCCCACCAGAGAGATGTTTAGCTAGCTGGGGGCGGGGAGAGAGCATTTCTGGGCAGGTGAAATGGTCAAAGCACAAAGCGGTGTACGGTGTTTTCAGCTGAAACCGTACGCTCAGCACTTCTCAAATAAAATAAGCAAGAATGCCCAATAAGTAGCATGTTTAACTTTTTTGTGAATTGTGCCCTTTCACTTATAAAATCCAATGTCTGTTGATATGAGTTTGGCGCCATTTATGAGGTGTCTACAGAAATTTTGTAGAATGCACATATTAAAATATTTCCAATGATTTTTTGTCTTGGGTGCCAGTTCATTACCACTTGCTTGTTCTTCAGTGGCCTGTGTGAAAGGAAACTGGTGATCTCACCTATTTCTGGTGGGCAAATATTTCCCCGACAATTGACAGCAGTTGGCAGACTTGCAGGACCATGGAGAAAGAACTAACTTTTCACTCCTAAATATGGTCCTGCCAGGTCAGGTTTGAACACATTGTCAAGGGGGCATAAGGAAACTTTTGTTGCCCCACGTTGTACCTGTTCTGAGTAGAGGTCTTCAGTCTCCAATACTTCCAATTGACAGGAGCAGCAAATTCACACACATTGTTACAAACACAATAGTAAGAAAGTTAAGGGTAATTCATGCATGACCTTGTTATGGTGATTTACAAGGGAGAGCCAATGTTGAGTCCAGATGGGCGTTCCAACCTCTCAGCCTAACTACTGTTTTATAATTGCAGTCAAAATTCCCTTGTTTAAATAATAAACATTATGTTCTATACTGAATACTTCACTGTAAACTGCACACAGAACATGCTGAACTAAATAGGGCTTCTATTGCGATGAATATAACAACCTCTTAAATGATTAGGACACCTGTTGACATTAATATAGAAGTGCACATGGAAATAAATGTGCCGCACATTGAAATATATGTACACAAATATTTAGAGGATTAGAGAAATTGCTAAAATGGATAGAGCAGCATTTAACACGAACATGTGTGGAATCTAGGCTGAAATGGAAAGAACATGCATGGAGTTGATCACTTATCAGATGTTACGTTTTTGGTTTTGGTGGTTTTTTTAAGTTCACTTGGGGCAGAAAAGTCCCTGCACTAACAGTCATGGATTTGTATATTAAGTAGAGATTTTAAATATATCTCTTTGGAATCTGCCTCTGATTCATAACCACCTTCATTTAGTAGCTGGCACCTTTGCCGGGCAAGCTGCAAAAGAAAGTAATTAAATTTAATAGAAGCCACCTTCGCTTTGAAGCTGCCCTAGATTTAAAGCCATGGAGAGAAGCAATTAAATTGCAACAGCCATGGATTTGAAACTAAGTTATATGGTAATTTTTGTTAACGGAAATTTTCACTGTAACTGGGATTGGGTTGTCAGACCTGATTGTATTCAGAAGTATATTCCAAAATTAATGATAGAAATCTTCCTCTGGAAACCTTTTCTTGAATCAAAAATACAATTTAAAAAGAAAGCAAAAAGAAAAAATAGGTGTAAAACTGAGGTCAAATGTCACAGAGAGAATATTTCAAAACTTTTGGAGCATTGGTTCTCCCCTGGAATGTGCTATAATTATAAAGGCTAAGAAGGGAAGAAGGATGTTTGTTTGCAAGCAGGCATATATGCCAGCAGCACAATAGGTAGGTTCATTTAGGAAAGGTGCTTTTTTTTTCAATGGAGAGTGTTAGAAACTTCATTTAAAGAAAGCTAGTCTCCTGAAAACAGCAAAATCTGCAACAATGACCTGTTTGTTTTTCACTTCCATGATTTTTTGCAGGTAAGGTAGAGCTTTGAAAGTAAGTAACAGCAAAGACTGATGAGAAACAGAATGCCATAACCAGTACCAAATGTAGCCCCATTCCATTTAAAAATTATATTTTTTAAGAGTTCTGCATGTAGGATTGAAAAGAATTAAATGAAAGGTTCTGTTTTTGGTGCAGGCACTGTTCAGAAATCAAACAGGCAAATGCAGTTCGATCCCCCACGAAAGCGAAGTTGTTCCCATCTTCAACAGCTGTCGGCAATATTTGCAGATTATTAGTTAAGGTGTGGGTGCACGTGAGAAGTTTAATTATTTTCAAGCAGGCACTTTGCAAGCAGGTTCCAAAGAGATTCTTAAATAGCTGACAGTCCATAAATGAGTCCATATGGAGCTTATGAAAAAAAGCTAGTAAACTGTATATTCATAACAGAATAGTTCTTACAGTGTCACCAGCCACTGGAGAAAACCTGGTAGGAATAATACAGGTGGGGAAAAAAAGCATTGGGTGTTAGTTGTTGGTGAGGCATTATGAACATTTGTGCTTTGCTGTAAACAGTTGATTATTTTTATTTGTATTTGGTAGCACCAACAGGCTCCAGCCAGGATCAGGTCAAATCAAGACATGCCTTTCTGTAAGAGATGCTTAAGTCAAACACAAATTATTGGGTTCAGTAATGGCTGAAATGTGCTGGCCTGTGTTATATAATGGTCCCTTCTGGCCTGATACTCTGAAACTAGGAATCTAAGCAAGCCTTTTTTCAGGGATTTATCTGAGATCAGCAATCAAGTCTGTAAGGCCCTGACAGCTGACTCTTCAGCAAAACCATTATTACTTCATTGGTCCATTGTTAGGTACTTGAGAGCAGAAATAGCAAACTGCAAATTCCTCAAAAAACTGCCTTGGCGTTCGTCAGTAGCATAACAGCCTTGTTGATAATGTGGGCGAATGAGAGGACTCTGCCATATATGACATCAGCAATCTAGAACATTTAGTATCAAACGTTCTGCTTGCATTAAATCTCCCCAAAGCAGCTTTCAGGTGGGCAGCAAATAGTTCAAAGAATGTTTGACCCTAAAATTTTAGATATCCCAGCTGTGATATTTGACAACGGATCTGGATTATGCAAGGCTGGTATTGCAGGGGACAGTGCGCCAAGGTCAGTTATTACAGCAATTGTTGGTCGCTCGAAAGCCAAAGCAACGATGCTAGGAGCAGGACAGAAGGAATTTTATGTTGGAGAAGAAGCCCAGTCCAAAAGGGGTGTCTTAAGTTTGAATTATCCAATCGACCACGGCATAGTTACGTCCTGGGATGACATGGAGAGGATCTGGAGACATGTCTACGAGTGTGAGCTGAGAATCAAAGCTAGCGACAGGCCGGTGCTACTGACGGAGGCCCCACTCAATCCCCTACAGAACCGGGAAAAAATGACTGAGATCATGTTTGAAGGCTTTAAGGTGCCTGCCATGTATGTTGCAGTGCAGGCGACGCTGGCACTCTATGCCTCAGCACGCACCACAGGGATAGTAATGGACAGTGGAGACGGAGTTACCCACACCGTACCCATCTACGAAGGATACTGTTTACCCCATGCAGTTTCCAGGCTGGATATCGCAGGCAGGGATATCACTGAATACTTCATGAGACTCCTTTTGGAAAGTGGCCACTCCTTCGTGAGCACAGCTGAGAGGGAGATCGTGAAAGATATCAAGGAGAAGCTGTGCTATGTGGCTTTAGATCCTGTCAAAGAAACGAAAGCAAAGCCAGAAGAAATCCTCAAAGAATACAAACTGCCTGATGGAAATATCATTAAGATAGGCAATCAGCTCTTTCGAGCCCCGGAGACCCTTTTTATGCCCGCTAACATTGGTATCGAAGCCCCCGGGGTGCACAAAATGATCTTCAACAGTGTGATGAAATGTGACATTGATGTTCGCAGGGATCTTTACGACAACGTGCTTCTTTCCGGTGGGTCCACCCTATTTCCTGGGCTGGATGAACGGATCCTGAGGGAGATGCAGCGGCAGGTGCCCATCGGGATGGCCGTACGGGTCATAGCACCGCCCGAGAGGAAGTACTGTGTGTGGATCGGGGCCTCCATCCTCACTTGCTTGTCAGCTTTTAAACAAATGTGGGTCACCGTCAGTGATTACAAAGAGTTTGGTGCTGCTGTAGTACACAGAAAATGCTTTTAAGGAGAGACTACGCAACTGAACCATGGTCTCATTCGAATAAACAGTGCTCAAGAAATGCTCCCAAGATGTGAACCAGAAGATGCTACAGCGGTTTGTGTATTTATTGGATGACCAAACATTACAGAAAATAAAACATTAGAAACAGACCATCTTGTTCAGAATGGCTGTTAGGTGTCTTATTTTCCTATCACCCTCAAAGGGTGCTCAGTATCCTGCCACCTCCCCTAACTACTTCTTGCTTCCACGTCTTCACATCTTCATTTGCACTTGTCATCCTTCTGTTCTCTACTCAGTATTGGCTGGGACTCCCTTCGGAGGCATGGATGCTGTTCCTTAGCAGGCCAGAGGGGTCACCCTAAAGCAGTGAGAGCCATTCTTTTTCACCACTGGCTGAATACTGTAGCCCCAACATGCTCTTCCTCCTTGACCACCAGGAGGAAAAAAAAATCAAAACCAGAATTGGAGTCAGGTCTGACTGAACTTTTCTCTCCTAACGTAGCAACACAAAGCAGGGCTGGAGAGTCATGGGGGCCGTGTGGATAGCTTATGTTTTGTTATCTTTGTTGTAGTGATCCAGTTTATGGTAAACAAATGTGATGACCCTAAAGGAACATTAAAATGAAAGTTCTGCTTTCCAAATCTTTACTGTACTGCAGCTTGATCCTGCAAATGTTGACCTTGATGGGGCGACCCCCTTTACTGACATTACTCATGCGCATAATGAGAATGAGGTCTTTAGCTGCTCCAGAGAGAACAAGACGTGTGCTTTGTCCTATGCTGTCCCACCGTCCTGGGTGGAGCTTCCTGTAATATTTATCTGTGAAGCCACCTCATTATCCGCCTTCCTTAAAACTCTCCTTTGCCATATTGCCTACAAAAATCTTGACGATGGATACTACTGCCTCTTGTGTTGACCAATATTGTTCCATTGTTTCCTTGTAACCCCACCCCTCCATTGGCCGCCTGTCTGTATCCATCTGTTGTCTCCTGTCTCAAACTTAGATTGGAAGCTCTTTTGGACAGGCGCCTTCTTTCTGTTCTGTGTTTGTACAGCGCCTAGCACAAAGGGGTCCTGGGTCATGTCTAAGGCTCCTAAGTGCTGTGGTAATACAAATGAATAATATTAATTAATGTTTTATTTAACTAATTAATACCAAGAGAAGCCTATCTTTTCAGCACGTAAAAAGGCATTTTCCTTTCCAGTGTCATGGTTCATAATTGTACTAATAGCCCCTAGGTCAGGGATAGTCAGTAGGTGGACCATGGGCCAAATCCGGACTGCCAGATGCTTTTGAACAGACCCCTAAATATTTTTATTTAATTATTACTATTATCATTTTGGGTTTTTTATTATTTTCTCTGGAGTCTGGACCTTGACTATACCTTGACCAAGAAATTTGGACTTTGACAAAAATAATTGACTACCCCTGCTCTAGGTTATTTCAGAGAGTTATTGACTTTCTGGGTTTAAGGGCCTGAGTCCAAGAGGTGGGGTTTTGCTTGTTGGCACATAGACATTTAGAGTGTGTCTACACGACAAACCCCCCGTCCCCAAAAACGAGTCTCAGAGCCTGGGTCTTCAGCCTTGGGCTCACACTCTAAACATAACGATGTAGATGTTGCGGTTGGAGCTCGGGCTCCGAAAACCTCCCCAGGCGTTAAAGCCCGAGTTCCAGCCTGAGCCCAAATATCTACACAGCTATTTTGAGCACTGTCGGGTGAGCCCATGTCTGCAGAGCCAGGCTTGGAGACTTGCTGCCGTGGGTTTTTTTGTTTGTTTAGTGTAGACCTATCCTTAGAGCCTTCTCCCGCAGAAGATAAAATCACATCACATTTGCTGATCTTCCTATTCTGTGTACCACTCAGTACACTGCTTAACTCACAGCTGGGCCCATCTTCTAAAGGAAGGATCTCCGTGCATCAGTGCCCCAGACTGGGTAGCACACGTTTCACTAGGGGGCACCAGAGCAGCAGCTGGAAGAGAGAGAGAATTTCTTCAAGGACGATGACTGTACTTCACTGTAACGTATATAAACCTACTGAATATAGTCACCCTTAGGTAAAGCAAAATGATAAGCTACTGCCACATTCTTGGCTAACTTCAGAACTCAACAAAACTGTGTAGGTGAGTGGAGTGGCACTGGAGCTGGTATAATCCCCATGAGAGACGCATGTGCTGTTTGGCATAAGTGATCAGAAAAGGATTCAGCTCATTTAAAAACAAGCACCGACGTACCTAAATGTCTCAATGTTAAAAATGCTCAGAGCCTTATAAAAGCAAATGGCGCATTGCTCTCTGATTCAAAGAGCATTTCAAATCCTTAATGAGCTGCTTGCAAAAAATTCTATATTTTACATTTCTTAATCATTTCCCTGATACCTATGACTAGGTGAGTTAATACATTGAAAGCCTTGAATATATCTGCTTCGGTTGTAATGGCCACCAAACAATCGTTATCTAGCTCATCCATTGTTGTGTGTTACAGGACGAAGCACTGGAAATGCCTTGCTTGCCACCACATGAGTGGGGATAAAAATCCTGAATCCTGGTCAAAGTTAGGAGCATCAGTCCTTGACTTTGTTGACTAGCAGAGCTTGTCATCTTGTAAAACTGAGAAGATATAGTTGGAAGATATAGTAAACCTTCACAACTAAGCTTCCCAGAAGCAGCTTTTTCAGAAACTATTTAAGGTCTAGGGGGAAAGCTGAAGTGATGTTTAATCCCCAAACTTTAGATATTCCAGCTGCGATTTTTGACAATGGATCAGGGCTATGTAAAGCTGGCCTGTCAGGAGAAATTGGTCCAAGACACATCATTTCTACAGTTATTGGCTGCCCCAAAACAAATATGTCACTGTCAGGAGCAGCTCAGAAGGACTGCCGTGTGGGAGAAGAAGCCCAGCACAAACAGGATGTGTTGTCTTTGAAGTATCCCATTGAACATGGTATAGTTACATCTTACGATGATATGGAGAAGATCTGGAAGCATATCTATGAGCATGAATTGGGACTGAAAGCCTCTGAGAGGCCTGTGCTAATGACTGAGACCTCTTTGAACCCAATGGAGAATCGAAAAAAACTGACTCAGCTGATGTTTGAACGGTTTAAGGTGCCTGCTTTCTACCTGTCTGTCCATGCCATATTGTCGCTCTATGCCTCAGCACGCATCACAGGACTGGTCATAGACAGTGGATTTGGTGTTACCCAGACGGTACCAGTCTACGAAGGGTACTACTTACCCCATGCTGTCTCCAGGCTGGAGGTCGCAGGCAGAGAGATCACAGAGTTCCTCGCGAAGCTCCTGGTGGAAAGTGGGCAACGCTTTGAGAGCCTGGCGAAGAAGAAGAGTATCATAGAGGACATCAAGGAGAAGTTGTGCTACGTGGCTTCAGATCCACACAAAGAATTAGCCAAGAGGCCAGAAGAGGTCCTGAAAGAATATAAACTGCCTGATGGGACTCTAGTCCGTATTGGCAGCCCACTCTTTCAAGCACCAGAGATCCTCTTTGCGCCAGGTAGCACTGGTAACGATGCACCAGGCCTTCATAGGATGATTGCTCACAGTGTTTCAGAGTGTGACGTCAATATTCACAACACTCTCTATGGGAACATGGTGCTGTCGGGTGGTTCGTCCCTCTTTCATGGGCTGGATGAGAGGATTTTTAAGGGACTAGAACACCAGGTCCCCAAAGGGGTTCCTATAAAGCTCATAGCACCCACAGACAGGTGGTTTTCTGCATGGATCGGGGCTTCTGTAATTACTTCCTTGACCAGCTTCAAGGAAATGTGGATCACTGCAGCTGATTACAAGGAGTTTGGACCAAACATTGTCCAAAGAAGATGTTTTTAAGAGGACTTAGGTAAAACTAACCAGCATCCATTCAGGACAGTGGTAGTTCTTGCATTTGCTAGTTAAAATGAAATAATAAAGTCCTTGGACAGAAGTTTGGCTTTTTCTAATTGTATACTTGGCTTCAGAGTCATGGAAATTAGAGATGGAGACCTCTGGTCTGTTCAATTCCATGGCCTTTGCAGCGCTGTTCCCTTGATTAAAGACCTTATCTTCAGTAATACAAAATAATCTGCTAAAATGATTCTTACTGGTGTTAATTTTAAAGCTTTTAAAATAAAGCAGGGTGAGAGTCTACCGCTGGGAAACTGAGGCACAAAGGGATTACAAGTAAGTGACTTGCCCAAGATTTAGATGAAGTCTGTGGCAGTGCCGGGAATTGAACCTAGCTCTCCTGCATCTCCATTCTGTGCCTTAACCCTGAGATTGGTTGGTGTGGGTGAGGGTGAGATCATCACCCGCAGCAAAGAAAGCTGAGCGAGAGAGCACAATAGAGAAAGATAGAGCGTTAGAGAGATCAGGGGACATTGAGATGACCCCAGAAGGGTCTGGGAAGCTGAGATCATACTGAAGGGCAGGAGGGCCCAGTCCTAACAGCTGCCACTCTGTGTCAGCACAATGGTCGGTCTAGCTCAGTACCTGCTTCTGACAGAGGCCGGTACCAGAGCTTCAGGCAGCGTGTACAGAACAGTGAAATGATCCACCCTTGTCTCCCCCTCGCACAAAGGCTGTGTCAGACGGCCCCGTTGACTTAATAACGATAAATACTAAGGGTACATTAAGAGACACCGCATGCAGCTCCTAGCCCAGGCAAAGGCAGCTATGGAGCCCCCTTAGCGTCCTCCTGATCACGCGCTGCTCTGTGGACTGGAGAGGCCCCGGCATAATTTAGACAGCTGGGGATCCCTGTAGGGCTGTATGTAGTAGCTTGGTTCCTGCTGTGCCTCCATGTCAGTTTATGAGGGGGCCCTCAGAGGTCAGCCTGACAGCTGCCTGCTCCAGGGGAATGCTCCGTGACCAGAACGTTAAACGCCCAGGGTAAAACACCGGAGGAGGAGTGAGCATCTCCCCGCAGGTCTTTATTGATATAGTCATCATTTGTGGGCTTGATCCAAAGCCCCCTGGAGTCAATGAGAGTCTTTCCGTTTAG